TTTCCCCTTCAAATCAGTGAAATAAACTTATTACCAGAGAGTAGAATTTGATTTAAGAGAGGCCTCAGCTCGGTCCTGGGCTTCCTTTAGATGCAGCCTGTGGAGGCTAATGCATGAAATGATTCGTGCCTCCTTTGGGTTTTTTCTCCACGATCAGAGAAGCTTTTGGGGAAGATCCAGTTATGACTGGTGCCCAGGCCCTGTGTTTTTTTATTTTTTTGTTTAAATTAACCTAAGGGAAACTTTCCAAATATAAACAATGTTGGCTCATTTGACTAGTGACCGAAACCAGCTTTCATGGAAACTCCCTATGTCACAAAGAGCAGAATTAGCATTAGTAGTTTTCAGTAGGTTTGAACGGCCAGTGTTCACGCTCATGAAAGGAGAGATGATTTTGTTTTGGGGAAGCAGTAAGGGTTAAGAGGTGAATGCTTCCCCACCAGGAATTTTCTAAGCTGCTAAATATAATTTTATTTGCACTAAACTTGTTGCCAATTAAGATTAAATATTAGCCCGAAGTGCTGTATCTCTAACAGGAAGTGCTCCTCTTAATTGCTTGTGATGGGACTGATCTTTGTGGGTTCGTGAAATGAGACCATCAATATTTCAGAATGTGAATCTGAAGAGGGTTGACAGATGAAATGTCCAAGTGGAAATTGTTGATTTTTTTATGGAAATGTTTTCATGTGTTGTGGAAATGATGCTGTATTTTAAAAGTATTTTTGTATTTCTTCTGGTTCCCCCCCATTAAAATGTCAAAAAAATCTTTATATCTTATTATATTTATGATATTACTGTTAACTTTCTTCTTTACAGAACTGTGTCTCAGTGAATGTCAGATTTTTTTGTTTATAGTTTTACTTCATAATTTTGCTGAATAAACATATCTCTCTTCTATGAAAAACCATAAAAAATAGGAATAAAGAAATCTAAGGATTACTTTTTCCAAAGAGACCTATACAAGGGATGAAATTTTGGCAAATCAAATCGAGAAAAAAGAGGGAGAATCCGAGGCAGTGGGGCTATGGTTAGGAGAGATGAAAGTTTAAAAGAATAAAAGATAAACATCTATGTAAATACTGTAGTAAATGGGTATTTTTCAAGGGAAAAATACAAAAATATCAACTTCTTTGAAAAGCCAAAGCATGTTTTTAATATATTTTTATCATTACATCAATTTATTCAATAAATATGTTTTGCTTAGTGCTGTGGGATTTATATAGGGGAGTGGGACATGACCGCTCTTCCTTCTTGAAACTTAAAACCTAACAGGATTTGTTGTTGAGTAATTTATATCCTATCTTGCTCCCAAGGTTTCTTCTAAAGCTGCATTATATTAGATGCAAGCATGTAAAATGAGGCAAAGAAAAAAGGTGGTACCAGGAATGAGCACAAAGCGACCATAATGCAAGAAAAAAACTTCAGAGTGTCCTAAATACAGAATAAAGTGCTTAAGAGTATTTCACAGAAGAGATTCATTTGGGCTGGGAAAATCAGGGAGGGCTTCACTGAGGCCGGGGATCTTTTAGTGAATGATGCTGGCTTTCCAAAGAAACCAGCTCTGTTGGTTCTGCCACATTCTTAACTTCTGCTTCAGTTGGTGATTTGCATAGCCCTGGTGTTGGCTGATTGCTCAGTGGTTAGAGCATCATCCTGGGTCTCAAGTTGGCTCTCATGAGGATTCAGGTTGCTCTGGCCTTTGCCCACGTGTCCCACTTAGGATTCTGGTCAGTGTGTTGGGAGGGGCAGGCAGAAGAGGGTGTTGAACACAGAGTTAAAACACAGATCTGATCCAATCACCCTCTTGCCCATGTTGTGAAGTTCAGGCAGGAGAGCTGCCAGGCCCAGCACAGTTTCCCAGCCTCCTGCCAACCGATACCTGCCATGAACCGGCCACTGAAGCCCCCAGCCCACTGGGGGTCCTAACAGCCTTGTTGTCTCAGTTTCTGTCATGGTGCTGAATTCCTCCAGCTTAGAACCCCTTTTGTTGTTTTCCTGGGGGGCTTACTGTTAGTTTTCCAGGCACAGTTCAAATGTCACAGCCTCTATGAAGAGTCCGGGGTAAAGACCTACAAGCCAGCAGGGGTAGAGCTCCATCGGAATTCTCACAATACTGCGTGCATATCCCCCTTCCAGTTTTTGCCATATACTATTTTAGTAAGTTGTTTGAGTGTTCTGTTTTTCCTTAAGACTTTGAATACCTGGAGATTAGAGAGTGGATTTTCAATTCATCTAAATGTACTAGATATTTATGGAACATCTGTTATGTGATAAAGACAAGGAGAGCATGGGGTGGGGTCACTGAAAAATAATTCCGGAACAGTGAGGTAAGTGGCTAGACATGTGCATTGAGACAGAGAATACAAAGAAGGGGTTATTCATGGAGCATGTTCTCGGTTTCGGGCTCTTTGTTTTTGCTGGACATAAAACATTCAGTAAGATATACATGTTTCCTTTTCTCACGGCACTTTCCTGGACAGGGGAAGTCAAGAAGGTAAAATGGAAGATGGGCTTCGAAAGGCCAGTTGGAGAAAGGAGGAAAGAATATTCCAGAAGGAGGAAGGATCAGGAACAAAGCCGCAGGGTGTGTTCGGGGAACACTTAGCCACTTGTGGTTGTGAGGGATGCGTGGCCACTGCTGTGTGGCACAGCGAGGTGGTGTGGAAAGAGATGAAGATGGAAAGGTAATTGAAAGCCAGGCTGAAAAAAAGACATTTTATGATATGTTGATTTTGATACAGCCTTTTCTAGGATACCAGAATTGTCAGAGCTCCTCCAGAAAACCTTAGTGTTATCCCAAATATAGATGTTTTCCTAAACTGTAGGACCTAAAGTCTCAATTTGAAGACCAAAACAAAACAAAAACCCATCAAAGTATTACAGAGGATGTACTCAAGTTTAAAATTTCCCTCTCAGCCCTGGTCGGTGTGGCTCAGTTAGTTGAATGTCGTCCCATGTACCCAGAGGTCACCGTTTCGATCCCTGATCAGGGCACATGCCCGGGTTTCAGGCTTGATCCCCACATGCAGGGGGCAGCTGATCAATGCTTCTCCTCATTTCCTCTCTCTCTAATCAATAAAAACTTTGATTTTAAGTTTCTCTATCAAATTTATCTTATCTTTGATGTTAATGCTTGTTTCCTAGCAGATAGTAGTAGGCAATAAAATAACATAATAAATGGCAATTTAATGTTAAAGGCAAACATTAGAAACTGCTGATAATCTTAGCCACTTGCTTTTTTTTATAGTTGTAAATAGTGAATTTTAATCTTGTAAATATATATGGTACAGACCACAGTCTTATTTTCTGCTAGTAAAATTGCTTTTGGTTCAGCATATCAGGAGATTACCCGTGTCATGGCTTCCAGATGCTTTGATTCCTCTATAAATTTTTCTAAATAGCAACTTTATTGAGACATAATTTACATACCATGCAATTAACCTGTTTAAAGTGTACAGTTCAGTGGTTTTTAGTATATTCACAGAGTTGGGCAACCATCACCACAATACATTCCTAAGTTTGAGAACCACTGACCCGGGCAGTGGGGAGCCGTTGACGGTTTACTGCAGGGCAGTGACATAAATAGGTTGAGGTGAAACATTTCTCTTGCTACTATAGGAAAGACAAGCTAGAAGCAGAAATTAGTTAAGTGTTTATAGTGTCTTAGCTTCATATTGAAAATATTAGGAATGTTGATTCAATCAGTCAAATAAGGTGAATGGATTGTATGTCTACAGTGTGGAAAGAACATTTTAGTTGGAGGGGCTGCTTTAGTTGATCAGAATGAGAAAGAATTAGGTAGGATCCAAAAGGAGCTATTTCCTCTCATTGCCTGGACGCCTTGGTTTAGCGATGAA